AACCTTTCGGCAGAAACAAGGTCAAGGGATGGAGTTCACTTGCCCATTGGACGATTTTAAGCTGGGTGATTCTGAGAATGACAAGACTAACTGAAGGTGAAACGTATGTGAATGTACCAAGTATATAGAGCAACGCTGGGAATTATCACAACTACTGTGGCAGATAACTTCGGATGAAGTACATCCATTAATGCGCATGAATGCAAATACTGTGGAAATGCATGGCTTTTAAAGCCACTAAGATGAAACAAAGTTCGGATTATGAGAAAACCTCTGGATAAATAGTAATCTTTTGATAAAATGTTATTAAATTCATAGTTTAGTGTCGATCACTGTAAGCATATACTAGGCATTTCACCTTTAAATATTATGCAGCTCCTGAGGAAGCAATGGTAAAAATAAGAATATTTTAATGCTATGGCCCCTATTCATAGTGAGTAGTCTATAGAATGAACAAACAAATAAAGTAAATCTAAACACACCCGAAAGACACAGGACGATCCTTGGTTAAACGAAGAAAGCCATTCTTAATATCCGTATCGTCAGTGTTGACCAGCTTAGAGAGACTCATTTCAGTGCTGATTGGTCCTGGTTTTAAAATAGCAGGAGGAAGAGCATGATGATGACAATTTGACCAAAACTTTGGTGGTGTAGCAGAAGCACCCAGACCTCCCTCGATAATCTCCGCCTCTTCATCGCGCTCCTCTTCAGCCAAGCTAAGTAGTGGTGGAGGAGTACCGCGACTGCCGGTTTCCAGGTGACTGGGAGACAGAGATTCTAGCCCAACTTCGGATGATACCACATTATTTGATCTCTTCTGTATCTTCGGAACACGTTGGCGGCGACGCCGACGAGAGACGGAGCGAGACCGCGTGACTCTGATCTCATTATCACTGTCCCCTACTTCACCTAAGACAATTGAAGGGTCACTTGGACAAGTAGCGATCACCTCGGTCAATCCAGATTCAGATTTGACAGTTTCACTAGGATCTATTAAAGATTTTCTGCCAAAGGACTCGATATCATCAAATCGAGGATAAGAATTCGAGTTAGCTAAAAGAGGGTCCATTCCGATAATAGCATTGACCGGACCGCTGCATTCCATCGGATTAGTCGATGCGGCTGAAGTGTTAAGTACGTTATTAAAAGAAGAGGAGACCTCGAGCAATAGAATGGGTAATGGCTGTTCTTCTTCGCCAAATTCATGTGCTAGCTTCAATTCGGTATACTGATCACTTTGACAATCAAGCCAATTCTTTCTAGCACCGTCAGGCAACTGGGATTCGGTGGAAACTGTCTCCAATGGTGAGCCAAGTTCGCCTATCTCGGGACTTTGGCTGGAAGAGAGTCGGCGCCGGCGACGCCGACGGCCTTGAGAAGTATTGATTAGACAAGTAGGACGCAATGAGGTCACTGAAGGAGACGAGATAGAACTGGAGGTCGTAGTTGTGTTTTCTGACAAGGTGGCTTCCAGCATTCCATTGCTAGCTAAGCTCTGTCGTTGAGCTGTTTTCAACATCTGATCAAGCTTGGCCAGACCCTCAAAGCGTGACTTAACGGGAGAAACATCGGAGTCCTCATCTAGAGTGACTGCGGCAGCAGCTGCAGCGGCCACTGCAGCAGCAGCGGCAGCTTCTAGAATGGAAGGAGAACCGAAGGAGCCAAGCAGAACTGAATGTTGGTCAGCCATTGTCT